GTAAGCAATCTTTTGTGTTCTTGAAGCTTGAAGAAGAAGAAGGAGTTAGAAGGCTCAAGAGAAATATAATAGATCCAAAAACTACACTTCTTTGGCTACATTTTCTGGTAATCAAGTTTCTATCTTGACCTCTAGTTCATTAGATCTCTTCATTTCCCTTTTATGAAGGTTTTAACCCAAGAATAATAACCTTTGGTGTGACATCCCCAAATTTCTCGGCCAGAAAAGACCGATTTAGTTTATGATTTTAAAATAAAATCATAGTAATCTTCCAAAAGGTGTTGCGGAATTTGTCCCCAAAACAAAATATGATAAAAATTTATCAAAGCATTTCTTAAAGAAATGTATTTTCATTATATAACAAAACCTTGGGATGTCATGTTCCGATACATACCAAAAGCATAAACAGTACATTATAAGCCTTACAACAGTTATTTACATCTACTGGCCTATAATCCAAAAATCCCTCGTCACATCCAACTATGCTCTGGGTCCACTACCTATAATATAAAAAGCTGAGTGGGTCAGGCTTGGGAGCCTGGTGAGCATATAGGGTTTTCAACCCACAAATAATAATAAATTTATTAATTTCATCAACCAATAATAAATTTATTAATTTCATCAACCAACAATAACCCTGATTACCTGTTCCCGTTATCCTCACTTTACGTCCCTAAACACCTATCATAAGGGACCTAGCCTAAGGATTTTCATCGGGGTGACAGCACTGCTTTAGGGATTCCTCAGCAATTTATGTCAAATAAGGCAACCATGAGGGGGATGGAGTACACCAGCGAACATATCGTTCACCAACACCTACAGGTTGCGAGCCTGCTAGCGTTCCACTGGACTGTCTAGAAAGGTCTGTGGTCGTCATCTATACTCCGCTAGATGACTACAACAACAACAACAACATCGAGGCCTCTCATCATTTTAACACACATCAACTATTTCATCTACCCATGTTTTACCCAACATATTTGTAGATAAAAAGACATATACAATTTAAAACTTGTATAAAACATCTGTTCAACACCCATCTCAAGTAAACAAACAATATAATTACACATAGCACGTATTTTATAGAAAATACTTCATATCTATGTGTAAGATGAAAGTGACTACACACTCACTTGATAAGACCATGATTGGACAACACTTCGTCCCTTAAAACAATCTTTTTCGATGAAACCGGGATGTTTTCTCAAAAACCGGGCTTCACGCGGGCAGAGTTTCATCTAGAAAAACTCTTTTATCGGGATCTTCGGGCTCTCCGGGGCTTGCTTACGATGCTAGGATAATATTCTAGGCTTGGGGGTATTTTTTGTAGCTAAAAAGGAAGTAGAAGGTGGAAGAGTGTAAAATTTTCCAAACAATTTTGGAAGGTCTCGCACCCCATTTATAGTGGCCGAAGCCTCGCATTACGCTGGGCGTAATTCTTCGATACGCGGGGCGTACTGGCTTGAGGAGTCCTACGCTGAGCGTACCCTCGTACGCTGGGCGTACGAGGAAAACGTGGCTTGTGTTCGGTTCTTGTGCCTCAGACGTGTCAAGATACGTGTCTAGCGAAGGAAGGGCGACGTGGATGACTCCAGATCGAATACGTGCGAAGTACGCTGGGCGTACTCCTTCGGACCAGCCTCGAAGTTTGTGCCCAGAACTTCAAAAATCCATATCTTTCGCATACGAACTCCGTTTTTGACGTTATTTATATCCACGTGTAGGTGAGATTATACTCTACAACTTTCGTTTAGACTCCATCGGCTAATTTTGACTTTATTTTTAAAGTTATGTTTTTAACAGGCCGGGACAGGAAAAGTCCGTTAAAAATTATAACTTCTTCATCCGACGTCCGTTTTCGTCTGTCTTTTTACCGTTGAACTACAATCGACGAGATCTTCGATTCTCGTTTAGGTTGTGTCGGCTAAAAATCGCTCGATCTATTATTCGAATTCCGGGCTACATACTGCTATGCCAAATCTTAGAAAATTCATAATTTCCTCATACGAAGTCAGATTTGGACATTCTTTTTATGCACGCTCTCAGTTTAACGTATGCTACGACTTCCATTTAGATCGCTAAGGCTAAAAAGCACTTTATCGTAAATTCACTTTTTACGTCACACAACGTCGTGCCGGTTCTGTCGCGAAACTTCTACAGGTCATAACTTCTTCGTTATAACTCGGATTTCGGTATTCTTTATATATCTCCGGAATCCTTGTTTCGACCACTACAACTTTCTTCATAGATATCAGCTTTATCTAACATTTACTTTTGACGCTTATTTTTATCTTTAATTTATTATATCATCATAATTAAATATAAGGCACATAAATTCACATAATTCATTCTTATTACTTCAAAACACGTTACAATAGTTGACCTAGACTATTACCTCGTCTTTAATGCTTAGCCCAGAAACACGGGCGTTACATTTGGAGAATGGACGACCCAAGTGGATAATCTTTCAGATCTAGGACCTAGAGGGGTTGTTATGACATAAAGGTGTAAAATGTATGCCATTGAAGCCCCCATGCAAGCCATAAAAGTATCATTTTGGCCTTTTTAGCCCAAAAGTCCATGCATGTAGGAAAAATGTGGGAACTTTACGTGTCCAAGTAGTGTTAGGGGATTAGATCTGAAGTTGTAAGCCTTAGTTTGGTGTATGGATGGGTTAAGGACCAAGTTATAGGTCCCAAGGAATTAGGGTTTGAGCTAAACCCTTTATGAAGTGGTATTAATGGGTAAAGTCAGAAACTTTACCCTTAAAATAGCATTTCCTGGGTTTATGTGAAGTATGAAGTCTAGATCTGGAGTATAGGGTTTGAATCCATTAAGATAGCCCAAACAGGCAGGGGAACTCGGCGAGTCCAGTAAGGGACTCGACGAGTTGAAGCCGAGTTGTCCCGATTGTATGCCAGGTAGAACTCGACGAGTCTGGGAAGGGACTCGACGAGTTGACTCGGTTGACCACGAGTCTGAGTTGTATAGGAACTCGCCGAGTTGGGAGATAACTCGACGAGTTGGGTTGACTAGGAGTTGACCTTGACTTTGACTTTGACCAGGGGTAAAATGGTCATTTTACCCTAAGAGGAGTTATCAGGTTTTTGATTAAGTGTTATTGTGAAATTGATAGCCGGTGAGTCGTTGGAGTAGCCGTCAGAGATTCCTACACGAGATTTCACAACTAGCATTCGAGGTGAGTTTCCTCCAGTAGGAACGGGTCTAAGGTACCAAGGCCGGCCTGTTTAGTTAGTAATAGTTCCGGACTATGGTCTGATGCCGGGCGGGGCCCGATGTAGGTTTATATGCTTTTCCGGACTTCGATTCGATGTCGGGGCGGTCCCGAGGAATGCTTGTATGCTTGATGTCTTTGTGATTCTTGCATGTGTTTGTATTGTGTGCTTCCAGACTTCGGTTCGATGCCGGTGCGGTCCCGAGGAATGTTAGTATGATACTAGATTACGGTCCGATGCCGGGCGGGGCCCGAGGAATGTTTAAGTGTTAACGTTATGTGCTTAGGTTTATGTGTATTACTGATTATGCTCTTATGTATTCTGAGATTTGATCGATGCCGGGCGGGGCCCGATGCCGAATAGGGTTCGATGCCGGGCGGGGCCCGATACCGGGAAAGCCGATGTCGAGCTTGACTCGATGTAGCAGAGGCGGGGCCCAATATATGTTTATGTGTTATGTGTATGGTATGTGGTAGTTGGGGAGACTCACTAGCCTTCGTGCTTACAGTTTTCAGTTTTGGTTTCAGGTACTTCCGCTAGTAAGGGGAAGAGCTCGGGATGACTGCATGACACACACCACTGTTTTTAGCCTGGGAGGATTCACTCTGATTTATGATATATGATTTTGATACATTGACAGATTTGATGATGTTTTGAGATACATGACTTGTGGTTTTTATTATGATATGGATGAATTATGGTTTTTCATAAATGATTTTAAAAGAAATTTTTGGTCTATAGTTTTGGGATGTTTCAAAATATTTAGGGATATGGACAAGGATCATGGTCTCCGGTACTTTACGACCGCATATCCATCCTTAGTCTTACACTTTGATGTTGAGTTAACCCAAAAAAGACTTAACATGTAAATATTACAAAGATAGATAAACATATACAAGATTCAAACTTTTCAGTCCAAATACCGATGTAAAGTCATGACATACTGTGAAATTAAGGCTTTATAATTTGAAGAATATACAACTAAACAAAACTAGAACTTCGTCACCAGGGAAATGTGCAAGCTGTAGTACAAAATGACTTAACAAAAGTAGTTGTGGCAAGACACGTGAGCCTACAACTGGTCTCAATGCTCAACCAAGTCTGACAGTACAATAAATGATACACAAAAACTATTCCATACCTATTACACACTAAAACACAATCATGCCAATAAACAATTCCCAAAACTCAAGAACCAATAACCAACAAACTTGTGAATATGGCCACATGATGGGATTTCCCTACGACCTACGATACAATCACCTGAACACCAACTATCGGCAACCTCAAATCATGCAGAGCTACCTATTAGAGATTACATACGTCGTGGAACAACAAATTACATTTCATGTATACATACATGGAATGCCTTTTAGTTACCTTTTTCCAATAATAGAAGAATATTAGTTGCCAAAAATACCTGGTCTACCCACCATATTTTGGAATTGGCACTCCAAATGATCATATCAAAAACTATAGATACTATAAATGAACAATGAACACATTTGATCTAAACCTAAAGTATTGATGCATATTATTTCCTACAATGCTACGAGAGTTAGCCAAATTATGATTCAAAAGTATTCCCCGTTGGAAGCATTTTCGAGACTTTGATCAACTTACAAAAGGCTAACCAAACCCACCCCTCCCATATAAAAGAGGGTCACATTGCAAAAACTACAACTTTAGTGGTCCATGTGAGAAAACATGAAAGTATGTGGCTGTTAAAAGTATGATTCGGCAAGAACGAACATAACCCGACCCGTTTGTTGAGGAAAGCGGCTGACACAGAAAGGGTTTTACACAGGCGACCGGCGTGGGTTTAGCACAAGCAGTAGACGAGTAGACGCCACGGGAGAGAAAAAGATGAACGGCCAAAATCAGTTAGATAACTAGTTCGAACGAAATCGATGTGGTAGCTACCCTTGGGCATTAGCCCTAGGATCAGCAGACATGGCGGAGCATTTGGAATTGAAAAATGAATCTACAGCCAATCCTTGTTGTAGCGAGGTAATTCATTTGAGTTTTTTTGTTTCATATTAGTTGATTTAGTTAATCGTAATCACTCAAGAACTACATTTGATTTCAAGAATTCAATCGCATTTCTTAGTTCTTGGTTAGCCAGTCCTAAATTATTTTTAAATCTTTGGGATTGTGTACTAATAAATACAATTTGATATCAGTGGAAAGATAGACTGTTAAAAGTGCAACAAAAGTGCAAGAAGACGGAGGAGGCTAGGGCCGCGCTTAAGAAGGCAGTCGGGCTTTATGAGCGACAGTTTATATTGATGCAAGATGATGTTCTGAAACTCAAGAAGGGTAAGTATACATTGTTTCTGGACTCCTTTAGATATGCATATTATATTACTTATGCAATCGTAAATGTTATTTTGTGAGGTAGAAAGGTTTATGTAAACCTAAGAAATTTAACAAACAAACTAAGGGGTGTATATATATATATATATATATATATATATATATATATATATATATATATATATATATATATATGATCCAAATGGGAGAAATGGAAGAGCACCTCATTATGACATTTTAGGGTTGAAACAACAACTTTTGGGATCAGTAATTGATGTTAACTTATTTTGCAGCTTGTGAGGAAGAGAAGCTGCAGACTGACAATGAAAGGAAGAATAAAGAAAAAGAATCAGCTGCACGAGTTTCATTGGAGAATGAGATATCCTCACTGAAGTCTGAGATTTTATCATTGAGTCAAAAAGAAGGTTCAGTACCAGAACATGTGAGTGAAGAACTTACACTTCTCAAAGGGCGTGTTTCTGACAGTGAAAAGGAGATAAATTGCCTACGAGAGCAGCTTCAGAAGGAAACAAGTGTTTCAGCTACCAATAGAAAGAAAGCTGTAGAAGAAAAGAAAAGAGCCGATGAGGCATTACAAAGTTCTAAGGCTGAAAAAGACAAGATTGAAAAAGAATTAAGTAAGCTCAAAGCACAGTTGCTTAATGTGGAAACAGAAAAGAAACAGCTAAAGAAGGATCTTCAAAAAGAGAGTGCTAGAGCAGATATGGAGAAGATTAGAGCTGAAGCATTGAAAACTGCAAAGACTGAGGCTGAAGCTGAAATTGAAGTTTTAATGGCTGAGAAGAAGGTTCCATTGGTGGATGAGTTGTCTTCTCCAAAATCTGAGGATATGGATGTAATTACATCCCTTCAAGGGCGTGTATCTGAAATGGAAACAGAAATAACTCGACTTAAAAATCTTCTTGATAATGAGAGAAAACGAGCGGACTCTGAGACAAAGAAAGCTGAAATAGAGAAGAAAAAAGGTAATAAAATGCGAGAAATGTTGAAAACAGAACAAAGTAAAGCTGATGAGCAAAGAAAGTTAGTTGATGTTGAAAAGAAAAAAAGGGAGGAATTTGGACAACAGTGTGAAAGATTAAAGTGTGAGGCAGATGAGGTAAGATCTAAGTTGGTTTTAGAAGGTTCAAAGTTTAAAGAAGCAAACAAGAAACTTGAGGCTGAAAGAAAAAAGTATGTAAAAGAGAAAAAGAAATATGAAGAACAACAAAAGATTGCAGAATTGAATATGAAGAATGCTTTGGAGGAGAAACAGCGTGCAGATCGGATTCATCAGCAGTTAGAAGAGTGTCAACAGAATTATGTTAAATTGCAGAAAGAGATGGAAGCAAAACAGAAGGAAAAAGATACCAAACAAATGACTACAATTGGAAGTGAAAAGATTCAAAATGATGTTTCTTCAAGAAACTTAACAAACCCTTCTTGTGTTTTGACTGAGAAAGATATGAAAGGTAAATATGATGAAATGAAACTTTTAAAGAAAAGGCTGAAGCTTGAAAAGGAGAGAGTAAAGCATGCTAATCAAGTGGCTGAGCTTGAAAAGAAGTGTAAAAAAGCAGTTGAAAAAGAGCTTCATCAACTAAAGCTGGAGTTTGCTCGATTTTCAAATCGTGTAGGACTCTGTAGCTGTTATGAAATCTGCAATGCTGGTAAATCTTGTCTGGAACAGGTTAGTTTTTTTTTTTATTATTTAGTAATTCATAAATCTTGTTATTGAGGTTGAGATACTTTTTTTCTTCATTGCATTGATGCAATATCTTTCCAGTTTTTAGGCATGATGGATGTATTAACTATTAAGTGACATTTTTCTTTTTTACAGAATCGAAATGTAAACTCAAAGAGGAAATTTATGCACCCTGAGAGTGGAAAAGAACTTATGAAGCCTAATTCTGCAAGATCTCCTGTAGTGTCACTTCCTATATCTGGAACATGTACTGAAGTCACCTCAGGTACTGCTACTAAAATGGACTCACTCCTTGGAGGCTCTAACAAAAAAAATGTAGACAATTATGCCCTTGTTTCAAGCATGTCATCTTTTTCTGATCGACAGTTGGTGGGCTCACAGGGGAAATGTGTTATTTCCAACACTAAACCAGATGAAAGTAATAAACTGAATTCCAATCAACAGCTGCCTATTTCAAGGTTGTCTAGTGAGGTTCCTACAACCAGAAATGATGCAGTGGTGGCTGATAATAATGATGTCAAAACTCCTCTTAAACTGAAAAACAAAGATGGAAAAAACAGGAAAAGAAAGCGAACCCTAAATGCAACTGAATCCATTGAGCATTTGTATACAAAAGTAGGTGATGTGGATAAACCATTGAAAGAAGTTACATTGCAACCTTCTTGCAAGACTATTGAGCAAAAGGAAGATCCAGGGAAAAAAACAGTTGGTGATGAAAACGTTGATTTAGTTGCTTTTGAAAATAATGGAGTGGAAGCTACTCGTATGTGTAATGATGATAATCTTGAAAATGGTGGGAAGAATGTTGAGATTTTTAAGAGAATGTTGGATGATGACTATATGAAGTTGCTCAGTTTGGATAGTGAATTTGAGGAGGAAAGATACCGTTTTGCAGTTGAAAGGCCTCTTTCACCTACTCTTCCAAACATCCAGTTAGATGTTGTAGAAGATTCTAGACCTTCTGAAGTTAATTGCACAAATGGGTTGTTGCCAGGTGTCGATGATTCTTGTCAGTATATTGTTGTATTTCCAGACATCAAGGACAGTGGCAGCCTTTCCAAGATATTTCATACAACAGGAACTTTGATGACTCAATGCTGTGTGTCTTCTGAGAGTGATCACATGATTAAAAATATAATTTTTGCTCTTTCTGCTGAAGAAATTCTCTCACCCAAGTAAGTTTCTTGGCTTATAAAACATGTGGTTTTATTTTTTGTTTACCATTTCTTCTCTTTTAATTTTCAGGGAAAAGGTCTGTGTGTTCTTCTCATTGTTCTTGAAGAGCCCCTCAAACATTGCTTTGACTAATGTCAACCATGTCTTAGATGAGAGCTTTTTGAAGACCATAGATATCTTTTCTGGACAAATCAAGAAAGGTATGTGTTATCTTAGCTTCATATTTTCTACAGTAAATCACACCTTTGGTCCCTGGGTATAGTTGATTTTTGCAATTCTGATCCCATAAAGTTTTCTAGTGCAATTTTTGTCCTTATTTGAGGTTCCTGTAATATTTTTTTTATCCTTATTCCTAGTGAAATGACTATTTTTGGTCCCTGACTATTGCCGATTTTTGCAATTTTGATCCCAAAAACCACAAATAAGGACCAAAATCCCAAGAGAGAACTTTTGGGGAACCAAAATTGCAAAAAAATCAGCTATACCCGGGGACCAAAAATGTAACTTACTCTGTTTTGTATATATTTATAATTCAGTTGTTATTTTCTATGTGCAGTGATGTCTGATGTAGAGACGAGAACCATTTTTGAAAAAGTATGCAATTTAGATGAAGTTATTACTCTAATTCAAGATTTTATAATCAATGAAAGAGTAGTAATCCACAGTGATATAAATCCCGAGTCACCATCATTTTCAGACTCCAAAGCCTCATTGCAACAGCTGGTGATTGGATCGATTTTTTTAGCATCAATTTGTGTAGCTTTTGACCGAATTGACTCCATATGTGAAACATCATACACCATTTCCCACATCACCACTCCCTCAACTTTAACATTTCTACATATCTTTGGTTACATATGTGGAGAAAAATTAATAGCCCAAGGTGACTACAGTTTAATAATGACTGTAGTAAGTTCTTTAGTCACATACTATGAAAAGGAAAATTCATCATCATCATGCGCCAAGTGTCCATTTTTAATTGGTGCTGTTTCCATGGAAGAAGTGGCATCACTTCTCTTGAATAAACTGAAATCAACAACCGTTTCTGATGGTGATTTGTCTGATTTTGGGGATGTTTTGTCACTTTTGGAGTTAATAGCATCTAAGATGGTATGTATATGTATATTTAGTTTTAACTTTTCTTTTAAATAATTTGTGTTAATTAATATTTATTTGTTTTGGATTTGCAGAAGTGGGGTTGGATTTGCGAGAACATTGTTAGTGAGCTGTTGAAGTTGTTGGAAGTGTTTGTAGTTGAAACACCTTTGACTGCTGTTTTTGTTCTTCTAGGCCAACTTGCAAGGTGAGTTTTAGTTTTGACTGTTTTAATTATTTGTTTATTATAATTTTTTTTAATTGGATATTTGTTAATGTTACAGACTTGGGATTGATGGTAATGGATTGGAAGATGCTGACGTGGAAAAAATCAGAATGAAATTGAGTTGGTTCATAAGCGGGACCACATCAAGGAAAATGAGTTTAAGGGTCCAATTTGCAGCTGTGAATTCTTTATTGGGTACAACGCCTCTCAGTTTTGAAGAAATTTGTGATAAGAATAATAAGAGGTTTGTAAGTTGTTCAGGTGCAATTGATTGCATACAGAAATGGTTTAATTTGTTGAGTGATGAGCAGAAGGCGTTGTCTGTTAGACTCTTACCTGCTGCTGGTGTTTCATAAAGAATCTTCTTGTTGAAACTTGAAATTAAACAATTTTGTAGTCATAGTAGCCGAATGCAAATTACATTCATGCCCTTGTTGGTGCTTACATGTTTAAAGTTAATGACCTAATTTACTATGCGTGATTCTTTTGGTAATACATAGATTGTTATTGTAAACCAAGAATGGGTCGAGCTCTATTAGTTTCACCCACTAAAAAATTCATCTTTTGCTCGTATATACATGGTTTCCAACAGTTTTGCCTTGGCTGAGTTACTATTTGGATATTTTTCATTCAACTCACTGTTCAAAACCTACTTAACCACAACCTCTAAGTTCATATTAGTGAAAACACTTTATATATATATAAAAAAAAATTAATATTGAAGAGAGGGATAGAAATGAAATGTATTGATTTGTGGGGGTTTTATAAAATTTATTCTACTAAAGAGTGTAGACGAAACCCGAATTACAATTCCACTGTTTTATGGGATTAAATTTTGAAGGGAAGATCAAAATATGAAATTCCAGTAACATGCAACATTCCAAAAAAAAAAAGCATTGAACTCATAAAGGGGTGAAACAATGATAACAATTACAATCATAATAAAGTTTTGATTATTAACCCAAAATGTGTGAAACATCTTTTTGAAAAAGTGATAACAGTTACAATCATAATAAGGTTTTGATTATTAATTACTTTTCAAATCAAATGGTGTCCCACTTTTTACACATCATTTTTACAAAGACTTACCAAGTCACCTATAGACCAACATATACCCTCGAATAACAACACCTACAAGGGGAACTGTATTCACTGACTGTTTCCTTATACATATAGACAAATGCTATGTCATATTACTTGGCGTGACACCAACTATTTCAAGGAGGGACATCTCATACATGTTTGTTTTGTATGCCACATCCATTAGCATCATGTACGGGAATGCACACTACATCTTTAATGAAATTCGATGAGTAAAAAATAAATATTGAAGCTCCTATGTTGATGCATCTCCATGACTATAATAAACATAATCATGTTTATCTAAGAAAGACATAACAACCTACATTTGAGTTTTTCTATTTTTCTCATTCTTTTTGAATTTTGGCTTGCATTGTATATTGTTGGAAAAGTGGATAAATTTTCTATATTTTTATGTTTTAATAGATCATATATTTCGTGGTTGCACATGTTTTCTTAACAAATCTTCAACTATTTGGGTTTAACTTTCAGAAAGACGCATTGGATACGAATGACCTTCTAAATATAAGTAGTTACGTTAGTAGTGGATCTTTTTATTACAATAACATAACCAATTCGATGCACCGTCTTTTGAACCCAGTCTAATTGTTCACGAGAATTGAATATTTGAAAATGATGTTTTTTTAGAAACTAATAAACTTATCGATTCATAATTCTTCTAACAAACCTAAAACTTTTACCATGTCGGTTTCAAATTTTGATGTGTTACTAATGGAATAACTTCTTTCATTATCACGATCTTGAGATGCATTGCTAGTGTGAATATTGTTACCGTAATCAATACATACAAATATGAATATATATGATATACATAAACATAAATATCTTAATAGTAATAAATGAACATACCTTGTAATTTAATTCATCAAACGATGACAAATACTCAGGCCAACTCATGTCGCTACTTAAAATAGATTATTTTCCAAAATTAGGTACCATGAAAATGAAATTGAAGGGTCTATTTATAATAAAAACATTACATCTGTTATGATAAACATGTTAAATTATTTATCAGTATCTTTTAAATTGTGTACCTGATAAAAAAATGTGTCTGAATTTCTTGAATTGTGTGTCCGTACATTATTATATGTTTAAGTTAGATTTATAGTCAGATTATCTTCTATTTTTATCATTTTTATTTTTAAAATATAATTTATATATTTTAATCTTTTGTTTACTTTTATATCATTTTTATAAAATTATAAAATATTGTAATGTGTAATCAAATAAAATAAAAAACGAATAAGTCATACATATTATTTTATATGTTACAATAACAAATAAATTAAAGGGGAGGAAATTGTAAATATACAATAAACTAATGGGTAGAAATTATAAGTATAAATTACAATCGGTTGACATCATTGAAATGAATTTAAAACTATATAAAATGGTTAAATATAATCATTCAATTTTTGGGAGGTTAAGTCTTGGTAAAAATGATGTATAGTCAAAAGATATGATTTAAGTGTGCTAAGGTGACAACGTTTGATTTGAAAAGTAATTAATAAACAAAACTTTATTATATGATCGTAATTGTTATCATTTTTTCTCAAACAGATGTTTCACTCAAATATAGGTATAGGATGGTGTTGGGTGCGAATAAACCTGAAAATAATAAATTAAATGAGAGGCTAGAAATGAAAATTTTATTTATATTATGAATTGTTATATGTTTGGATTTAATATTATATTTATTTATATTATGAATTGTAATATGTTTGGATTTAATATTATGCCGCAGGTATGATGATTTGAATTTTGACCTATGCATAAGTTAATTTGGGTGTCATTAACAACACACAATTTCAGAAAGTGTAGCTTTTTCCATACCGGACAAAAAAATCTTAGGATATAATTCTATTAAATATTTAAAAAATGTTTTTTTTTTTTGAACGGCAAAGAGAAATATATTAAAGAAAGCAGCAGGGGCTGGGCAAAAACAGTACATAAAGAAAAATTAAACCAAGAAGAAACTTGAATGTGTAACTAAACTAGACAATTTTAATGATAACTAGAGATTTGTAATGGAAACCAAACTAACGACTAAGCTTGTGAGCACCAAGGGCAAAATGTCATAGTTGTATAGTTGTAGACACCAAGATTCTTAGCCATGAAACAAGGTCTGGGGCGACAACATCCACGTGACAACATCCAAGTGACAACAACCATGTTTGAAGTAGCTTCAACCTTTAAAGAGGCAACAGCAACAGGGCAGTACGGGCAAAACGTAGTGCTTCAGACCATGGATCAAGAGTCTCCAAATCATAATGGATATGCCTTTACATGGGAGAAACATTTATCAACAGTATCAAGTGATTTGCGGTTACAACTTTGAGATACATATTACACCTTTGGGAAAGCAACCGGGGTAAGTGGCCATAAAAGTATTGAAAGTATTAAATGAAACGAGCTCTAATTGATTTCCCAGAAAGCTTCATGCGCCAAGATGTGTCCAAAATCTAGCAAAATATTGTGGGACCGCCTTCAAGGACATTCTCTAAGTAAGCTGATTGAGAATACTATGCAACATAAGCCAAGATGAACCTTCAGATTTGGATAAATGATTGTAAGATCCTGCGAAAAGAACAAAAGAAAACAAAGAAAAGGAAGAAAAAAAACACACGCCAAATGAAATGCACCCCCCCCCCCCCCCCCCTATATAACACCAAACACTAGAAAGAAACACGAAAGAATGTCAAGTGCAGCTATGTTCCTAGAGAGATGTCTATCGGAGAGAAAGAAAACACACGCCAAACACACACGAAGCTGCAAATTGGCATACCCCAAGACACCAATTAATATTGAAATGTACCCCCCCCCACCCACCCACACACACCTTTAAAGGCTACATAACATATCAAGCTTTAAACATTTAACCAGCTTTGTTGAAAGCTTGATGCCCTGTTGCTAAAAACACTGAAAAGCAAATAAACTCACATCAACATATACTTGACTGCAAAGCAAGCATACCACCAAGATGTCGGGATTTTTAGAAGAATAAAGACTTAAAAACCAACCCCTGACCCAACCCCACCCTATAAACTTACAACAGATCAGATTCAAGGATTGGGTTACAGCACCACTCCAACCATCTAAGATTTTTAGATTTATGTCTAGCGTTTATTCATAGATATAATAGGGTATGGATTTCATTTGCATGACCTGAAGGTGAGATGGGTTTCACTGAATGAGTTAGCTTGTTCCTGAATTTCCAAATGACCAAGATAAAGACCAAAGATATAACTTCTTGAAACAATCCTAGGTCTTTCAAAGATGATAAATTATGAGACCGATTGGAAGCCCGATGAAAATAAGTGCCACCATAATCTAATATCTCCCCATATTTAAAGAATGTTAAAATTGAGTTTTTTTTTTATCAAATATTTTATCTAGCTAAAAATAAAATTTCAAATTAATGTTTTTTGTAAAAATGTTTTTTTCAATTATGTTTTTGGAGTTTTATAAAAATTAAAGAATATTTTTTGTATCCAAATTAATATAGAAGTTACATGTTTGTTTATGACACTATATTAGAAAAATATTCTTTTTCAAAATAATTTTGTTAGGAGCTAACATTTTATTATAAAGAAATTCAAGTTTTTTCTTTTAAAAACTAAGACATAAATTTTTTGTTCTCCAAACTAAAAATATATCATAGAGGTTTGTTATTTGCCTTAAGTTATAGATTCTTGTTTCCATTTTTTAAACGTACCAACCATTTATCTTTCCTTAAAGGCCATCATAATCAGAATATCAAAATAATACATTCGATCCATTTATTTCATTGTTCATACCATCAAGACCGAAGATTCACCAAATACTCAAATACATACATATTTAACAATTAATACCCACAATATTGACTAACTAACATGACACCTCACATATTCAGAAGCATATCCAAAATATGCCGCAACTCATTGACAACATTTTCGATTTTCATCCGTTGTGGTGGGGAATCCATGGAGCATGATACTCCAATCTTGACAGTTAAAGATAAACATTCTACTATTTTCTTTGTATCTTTTAATGTACATTTCGTATCAATAACATCCTCTTGAAGAAAATTCAAAAGATCATGATCAATAACATCGGTTACATGGTCTGGCAAGGCCATGTAAGCAAACTTATGAATGTTAAGACCTTCATTAAAGGTGTTGTCTGTCGGCCTTTTCCCTGTCATCGTCTCCAACAATAGTATTCCAAAACTGTAGACATCCCCACTACTTGTCATCTCATTCCCGACACCATATTCTATAACTTATAAGCAATGCTTTAGAAAAACGTATTAACATAAATAAATATGAGTACATGGGAATACATGAACTTTACCTGGTGGTGCATACCCAATAGTTCCTTTAATGCCACTTATGCTGTTTTGGTTTGAATTTGTTCCAAGAAATCGAGCTAAACCAAAGTCTCCAACATGAGCCACCATTTCATGATCAAGTAAAATGTTGCTAGGCTTTAGATC